TTTGGGCAATCAAAGTTTCAGAACCACTAGACTAGAAACCGTCTAATTTCTGAGTTCCCGTCCTGTTCTGTATGAGTCTAAGATTACTCAATGATGAACTTCTACCGAAAGCCAGCTTCCTTCTTTCTCTCTCCCTGTTGCATCAACTTTCCACCATCATTGCAAAGCTAAAACAATTAGGAGGAAATTCGCACGCATTGCATCTCCCCAGTTGTGCTATGCAGTCACAGTATGACCCTCTGTTTTAAATTCTGGGGGTGTAAATAGCAAACATGGAGGAGGGGAGGTTGCAATTCCAGCTGGGGAAATAGCCTGAGGAGAGGGTTAGGGTTTGGCAATTTGATAATTACATTTGATAAAATGCCCAACATTGAGTCCCTCAATCAGGAAAAAAGGAGGAATATAAATAAATAAAACCATTTTCATCATCTGCATCATAACTCTGCATGATTTAGCTTTATTTGCCTCCTATGAGAGCCAGCATGGCATAGTGATTTGAGTGTTAGACTACAACTCCAAAGACCAAGGTTCGATTTCCAGCTCTGCCATGATGCCCACTGGGTGACCTTGGCTGAGTCATGTACTCTCAGCCCCAGAAAACCCCATGATAGGTTCGCTTTAGGATTTCCATAAGTCAGAAACAACTCAGAGGCACACAACAACAACAATGTTGTTTTATATTATGAAATTTGTATTTCACACATATAGAGCCAGAGTGTTGTAGTGGTTGAGTCTTGGACTACAACTCTGAAGATCAAGGTTTGGTTCCCAGCTCTGGCATGAAACCCACTGGGTGACTTTGGAGAAGTCACAATCTCTCAGCCTCAAGGGAAGGCAAGGAAAAACCTCCTCTGAACAAATCTGGCCAAGAAAACCCCATGATGGGTTTGTCTTTGGGTCACCATAGGTCAGAAAGAAGGCACACAGCAACAACATCAACAACAATTTTGAAAAGATCCCTGGCTTAGACTTAGGAAATGATAATCATGAAGATGTTGTTGGACTGCAGTTCCCATCAGCCCAACCCAGCATAGCCAATGGGGAAGTTAGATGGGAATTATAGTCCAGCAACACCCCCAAGAATGAGAGCCACCATTGGTTTGAGTGCTGGACTAAGGATCTGCGAGATCAGTTTGAATCCTCACTCACCCATAGAAACCCACTGGGTGACTTTAGGCAAGTCACACTCTCTCAGCCTCAGGGGAAAGCAAAGGCAACCCTACTCTGAACAAATCTTGCCAAGAAAAACACAAGATAGGTTTGCCTAAGGGCCACCATAAGTCAGAAATGACTTGAAGGCGTACAACCACAGCATCACCCCAAGGGCCCTCCATCCCTGCCTTAGAGGCAGAGCGTGTTGTTCCAGATGTTGGATGCTGTTTAATCTTTGCAGCGCGTGATGCCATGTCATCTGCTCTCCTTCAGCTCAAAGTAAACCCCTGGCAAAAAAAGTGCATGCGTGACTCAGGCCAAATAGAGCAGGGATCATCTGCTTTCCTTGCAAGTAGCTTTTAAAAATAATAAAATGTGCTCCCAAACACTAAACATACCAAAAATAGTGGGACTCCTCAACCCTTTTTATTCCAGCAGAGCGGTAAGCCACTTGTGGCCCCAAGGCTCTTTTTGTGGCTCTCGACTCCTCCAGACTCCCCACACAACCTGTCCTATGCCCAAAATATGGTAAATTACCTTTCCTAGCAGCCTTCAGTGATTCACATTTCAGATAGGATGCAGCCCCCTTGTACTGCTTAACATTTTAAATGTTAGTTTTTCAAAATCAGAAGTGGACTTCCAGCCACTTGCAAAGTTTTGTCTTTTGAGGGTATTTTTGACAGTCTTACCCAAGAGAAAAAAGAGGACATTGCCTCACCAAATAAGAATCTAGCCCCCCAAATCACATTTCTAGCATTGCAGACCATGAGATGCTGGACAGTGATATTTGCTGAACTTCATTCCCTTGGTTAATTTGTCTAGCCCTTTTCTTTGAGTGGCTAAGCTGTTATTTCTGTTGCTCAACTAAAGCTTCAAGTTATTGCAAAGCTAGAAATTTGCAAACTGAAGGGAGATCTCACTTGGGGGTCCGAAGTCTTAATTGGGGGAGGCAATGCCCCCATTTTGCCTCTGCTGACCATGAAAACCCACTGGGTGAACTTGGGCAAGTCACTCTCTCTCAGTCTCAGAGAAAGGCAAGGGCAACCCACCATTAAATAAATTGTGCCAAGAAACCCCTGTGATATAGTAGTCATAAGTCAGAGATGACTTAAAGGCACACAACAACAGCAAATAGCTGCACACTCCTAAATCCCCTAAAGGCACCAGATCTTGTCTCATCTTGGAAATTAAGCAGGATCAGCCCTGGTTAGGACTTGGATGGAGACCTCTGAAAAATCCTAGGTGCTGAAGGCTCTATTTCAGAGGAGGAAGCTGGCAAAACCACCTCTGAGGATTCCTTGCCTAAGACAACCCTCTGAAATTTATGGGGTGGCCATAGGTCAACAGGAGACTTGAAGAAACACACACCAGAGCCATACTCCTGAATGGCATCTTCCCTCCAGAAGAGGGGCACCATTCATCCAGAGTTTTCCTGGTGCAAACCAACTTGTGTGGATTTCTAGTTCAGTCCAGCAGAGCTTGTGCTCTTCCATCAGGTTTGTTGTTGACTTACGGACTTCAACTCATTTCTGACTTACGGACACCCCAAGGTGACCTTATCTTTGGTTTTTCTGGGTTGAGAGTGTGTGACTCTATGGCTGAGCAAGGAATTGAACCCTAGTCTCCAGAGCTGTTGTCCAATGCTCAAACCACTCCACCAGTACCAGTATTGAAACCGGGCTCCTTGATGAAGCTGCTTTCCCTTGGTTCATGACAGAACTGTGTATCTTCAGGCCAAAAATCCAGCGGATCAGGTGTTTGACCTTCCCTGGCTGGAAGAGCCCAGTGGGTATTTCACCTTTCTTCCCCAGGAATTTATGTCCAGGATGAACAAGCCACCTACCCAAACCCACTTGACCAACTTGCTATGCTGGATATTTTGGATTTTTCTATCTGAACTGAAGCAGGTTGTATGCAAGGATTGGGTGGCCAATACCTTTTATTAGGAACACTGAAGTATTGCAAAAGTGGTGCATGAAACTTACGGTATTTGCCACTTGCTGCATGACTTTTGTAACGCATCAGTGGTCCCAACACAAGGTATTTACTCTAAATAAAACACCCTGCTTTACTAAAGTTAGTAGCCATCTCAGATTTTTCTTTTTATGTATGTTTCCATGTCTTCTTCAGTTTGCAAAGACAGTTATTTGTGACCCAAGTATTTTATCTTCCTGAAGTCAATATCTGATCTGAAGTGGTTATACCATCACAGCTTCCTTGCCTGAGCAGATGGGGGAACTGTAGTGCTAGGAAAAGAACTGGAAGCAGAGTTTTGGGGAGGCAGAAATAAGAATTATTTCCCCTTCAGTCCCCACATTTGTAGCATTCAGTGACACACTGAAAATTGTTCATGCCCCAAACTCTTCTGTTTGCTGTGTCCACATCCCTTGGGTCACTTTTCAGACCCTTTTCTTTGGATGTTTAAACTGGACTTTTAAATGCTCAACTGAAATTTTAAGTGACTGCAATGCTAGAAAATTGGGGAGTGAAGGACAATTTCATAGGGGCGAAGGGAAGAATTCTTATATGGATCACAATGCCTTCATTTTAACCCCCCCCCCTCCCCTTGTGTACATCACATTCATAAAACCGGACATTCTTGCAAAGCAGGTTTTCCTTGCTGCAGGCACTAAAACAGAGGTCATCAGAGTGTATCCCAACCCCCAAATACTGGACTGCAACTCCCAGCAGCCCCAGGCAGCATGGCTAGTGCTGAGGAATCCTGTGAGTTGCAGGCAATAACATCTGGAGTATTGCACCATTTTCAACCTGGCCTAAGTGATTGGGATATAAAATCTAATTGACACTTTGCATTCACACACAGGAGATCCAGCGTGGTGTACTTGTTTGATAGCTGGGCTAGGACTCTGGGAGACCAGGGTTCAAATCCCTGCTAAGCCCTGGAAACCCACTAGGTGACCTTGGGCATGTTACACACTCTCAGCCTCCAAGGAAGGCCATAGCAAACCTGCTTGGGACGAATCTTGCCAGGAAAACCCCGGGATAGTTTCACCTGGTTGTTGTTGTGTACCTTCAATTTATTTCCGACTTATGGTGACCCTAAGGTGGATCTATCATGGATTTTTCTTGGTAAGACTTGTTCCGAGGAGGCGTGCCATGGCCTTCCCCAAGGCTGAGAGTGTGTGACTTGGCCAAGGTCACCCAGTGGGTTTCATGG